TCCCGCCTTTTCCCAGGAAATTATTTTGTAATAAATGAAACATGTTGTCCCAGGAAACTTCAAATTTGAGAGTAGGAGAGAGAAATGTCTAGTGCTGTGCTGCGATTCCCAGGCCTGTGTACGCTGACCACGCCCGTGAGAGAAGCCAGCTGTCCTTGGCCCAGAAACTTTCCTTTCTCATTGAACACAGCAGGCCTCTTTCCTTATTTTCTCTGCAAGATCATCTCCTGCCCAAATTCATTGGTACCCATAGAACCGGGCAGCCTCCCCTACCTGCTTGTCCCTTAAAGGTGAACAACCACTAAGAAATGCAGGAAGGGAATCTGGTTTCCCTCTCCCCAACTTCCTTCTTGGTGCTGTTTCCTCATATCAACCTTGCTTTCCCATTCCGCATCGCCTGCCCCCAGTTGGAGGAACCCTGATATAGTGCAATGAGCATATAGTGCAATGAACTGCTGGAGTCAGATAGACATTCTTTGAATCCAGCCTACATCACACACTAGCTGAATGATCTTAAGCAAGTTATTAAACCTCTCTGTCTCTGTCTTTGCTTACAAATTGAAATTGATAATATCCTATTCTCAGAAGTTTTGTGAGAGCCCTAGTGCATAAATGACACTCAATACACACATGTGGCGTAAACATCGAACTCAGTAATATACTAATTCCTTTGTTTGACTGCTTATTCCAATCTATCCTGTCTGTTTGGATGTTGTTGTCAAACCACAGGGCCAGAGCTGGGGCAGAGAGGAAAGATAAAGACAATGAAAAGAAAGAGCGCCTTTCAGCAGCCCTATTTCTGTGCCTTCCCAGGTCTCACTCTTGGTCTCGCCCCCACAACACCATCAGTTGGGTTTCCTCTTCCCCTCACTACCAGCCTGGTCCACAGGATCCCACTGGTGAGCTGGCCTAGTCACAAAAGGCCCAAGAGACTCCCAGCACCTGGATTTTCCTTTGAAGTGGCAATGCTCTGACTAGGGTCTTTTGTGACTCCCACAAGCCGCCATTCTCATCTCTGGGATCCTTTCCCTACAAGGCCTAGTCAAGAGAGGATGGGGGCCCTGAGGAAGAAGTGTCTTTGCCTGAATCCTGTGGCCTTGTCTGCCGGTAGCAACATCCCTTAGAAGAGCCAGAAGGGCTCCGAGCTTGCCTCAGGACCAAAGAAGTGGGGCTCTGTTTCTCTGAGAATGTGGCAACTGTGTTTTTCAGAGATGGCTTGTGATAGCTAATTTTATGTGTCAACTTGACTGGACCTCGAGGCGCCCAGACATTTGGTGAAACGTTGTTCTGCGTGTGTCTGTGAGAGTGTTTCTGGATGAGACTAATATTTGAATCGGTAGACTGAGGAAAGCAGGTGGCCCTTGCCAATGTGGATGGGCCTCATCCAATCCATTGAAGGCCTGAATAGAACAAAAGTGTTGAGGAAAAAGGAAGTTTGCCTGCTTGACCTTTGAGCTGGGACATTGTTCTTTTCCTGCCCTTGGACTAGAACTTACACCGTTGGCTCTCCTGGGTCTCCAGCTTGCTAACCTTAGATCTTGGGACTTCTCAGCTTCCATACTCATGTGAGCCAATCCCTTATCATTAATTAATTAATTAATTGATCTCCTTTTGGTTCTGTTTCTCTGGAGAACCCTAATACATGCCTGTAGCTTTAGCTCGCATCCCACTCGCTCTCCTTACAAGGCAACTTTGACCCTCCTCCATCAAGAGGTGGGGCCTGTGTTCCCTCCCTTTGGACCTGGGTGGGCTTGTAACTGCAGCAGAAATGACACTGTATGACTGTCAAGGCTGGGTCATAAAAGGTGATACAGCTTCTATTTGGTTCTCTTTTACTATTGTCATCCTTGCTGGTATAGCACAGAGAAGTTCCGAGTCCAAAGGTCCAAGAAAGCTGGAGGCAGAGCAGGGGTCAGGCCCAGTCCCCACCTCTCGGCCTTAGCTGTGACCCTGAGTGGATTCCCACCTCCCATGGCCTGGCCCCCTCCCTCACTGGCAGTTTGGTCAACCTCCAGGCCACCAGACCTGACTCCCTTAGGGGCACAATGCTGAAGCAATGATCGGCACCCCTAGAGGTAGTCTGGGAAAATGGAATGTCTTCCTGGGACAATACTGTTGTTTTAGGCACTGCAAAAAAACAATTGTCCTGCAGGACTGAGGATGTGGTCCAGGGGCCAGTTCCTCCCACCTTCACTTGCAAGACTCCTGCCTGCCTCAGAGCGAGTGAAGAGATACTGCTGTTCCTGTGACCCGGTGATCTCCCAGTGCACACCTTCCACCAGGGAAAGGGGAGAGAGAAAAAAATTACCTCCCTATTGCTGGCCAGTTTTTATGTCCCAGTAGAACAGCTTGGCATTCTGATCCAGGGAGGCAGAGATGGAGACAAGAGGAGACGACAGATAGACAAAGGGAAGCAGAGAGAGCCTGAGAGCCAAGAGCTCCAGGAGATGAATTTGGCTCAGTCAGTGGTGAGGCAGGGCCTGCCATTTGCCAGCTCTGCTCTGCACTGAGGGTGAAAGAGGAAGGTGCCCCTGCCCTGCCCTCGGGGCACTTGGCATCTGGTGGAGATTTGACCTATATGTGAACAAGGTCAAAACAATGACATGTGCTAAGTAAGCCTGGATGGTAAAGACAGCAGAAGTGAGGAACCCAGCCCACCTGGCTCAGAGCTCCAGAGAAAGATGCAGAGAGAGAGAGACTGTGCTGAGTTCTGAAGCTCTGTCAAATGCTTTTCTTGTCCTGCCCTTTGAAGTTTTAACACAATGAACATATTCCCTAGCCCTCGCTATGTGTCAGACACCATCTGTACCCTGTACTTATTTGGCATCATCTAATCACCAGCAAGCCTAAGTGACTGATATTCCTGTGATGTCCGTTCTGCAGATGAGAAAGCTGAGGCACGAAGAGGCATGACTCTCCAAGGTCACACTGCTGGTAAACCACAGAGCCAGGACTTAAACTCAGGCATGAGGCTCCAGGGCCCTTGCTGTAACTGTTGCCCAATTGCCTTTCTGGAGAGTCTCACAGGACAGCGAGGCTATGAGGGCCTTGAGAAATCGTCTCCGTCTTTCCCACACTACCTGTTCCCCACACTACCTGCTCCCTGAGATCACAGCCATGCCTGTTAAAAAAGAGATGCCCGTGTTCCTCCATGGAGAGTTGGATTCACGTGGTTGGATGTGAGGCCCAGAGAGCCGGGCTTTTACTGTTGGCCTGTATGATTTTTCTGGTCAGACACTGCCCTAATTCCACCTGATTTACCACTAAATTTTATAGGTGAGGAAAGCAACTTTCAGAGGAGTTAAGGGAAGGGTCCAGGATCACATGGCCAGTTGGTGGCTGAGCCAGTCCGACCAGTGGGGACCCTGGCTCTCTCAGCCTTTCCCACCCCCATTGTCCTGCCTGGTCTTTGAAGGAAGCCTCCTTCAGCAGGAGATTGAGCAAAAGCTTCTCTCCCTGGGACTGACTTCTGAGGTGAGGCTGAAAAACCCCTGCAGACCTAAGTAAATAAATTCACTTTCCATGTTGGTCCAGGGTCAATTGAGTCCCACAGTATAGTCAGCAGCCACATATGTGCTGTGTTTTGAGGACCTCTGAGGGACACCCCCGCCCCCGCGCCCCACTGCTCCGTCCACCATGGCTCTGAAATTCCTACCACCGGACTAGAGAAGGCTACTAATGTGCATATGGCTTACCTGGAAACGGTAGGATGCTCATAGCCATAGGACCTTTGTTTATCAACAGATCCAAGCTTTAAACGGTTGAGGTAAATGCCAGCTGTGCTTTGATAGAGGAGGATGAGAAGAAGAGGATGAAAGTATGAAATCTGAGGGTAGCCACAGATGTGCACCAAGAGGGAAACTAGGCGGGGTTTGGGGGTACCGGGAGGCCTCCGAAGACAAATTTTGTCCCTCACAGTTTTACCTGTCCTGCTTGGAACCATTTCTCCTCACCCTAGCTGCAAAGCCAAAGAGGAATATTGACACATAAAGCTTCTACTCCCCAGCGCCTTCACTGACACCTAGCAGGTAGGGAGGCAGGGCTGATGGAAAATGCACCACAGCAGAACCCCATAATGCCACCCAGCATCGGAAGCACAGCTTGGGAACTTACCAGCAGCAAAATGCTATTAACCAGAGGGTTTTCTGGTACTCCAGAAATAAATCCCCTTGGATGGAGACAGTATTGATCCAGCTAATATATAATTCTCTGCTGGAGTAGCTAATGCTGGAGATTTCCCTGAAAAACACACAGCTTCTGAGAAAGACTGACTTCAGGTCATGTTTTTTTTTTTGGGTGGAGAACTTGAGGATAATTCCAAACAACCACATGTGCCTCATACATGGGTAATAGTGACCGGATGATATAACGTCCCCACTGCGGGCCTCTGTTTACTTCTTCTCTTCTGCAGGGGAGGCCCTTCTCACTCAGTCACTCGACACTAATTTTCCAGAGTCACCCCCGCCCACCCTCTGGAAGGAATGACTGAAACCCAGCCAGGAGACAATCCCTGTCACTGCTTCAAAGAAATCACCCGGGGCCCAGCTCTGAAAAAGGCATCATGTTGCATTCAGGAAGGAATTTCCTTCATCCTTCATAGTAATCAACCAGGCCATTCAAAGGACAGTAGACTGCAACATCTCCAAATACTCCCGAAAGATTTGGGTTATCAACTCACCGTGCCCATCCACTTGGTAGAATTTTAAGGCATCAAAGATGGAGAAGACTTGAGAGAGCATCTAACCCAGCGGGCACAAAGTCAGATGCTCACAGGAGGCAGACAGGTAAAGTAAGAGCAATGCAGGCCGCATGGGGAGCACTGTGACTCTGAGAGCTCTTACCCCATCCAAAGGAATGAAATGCAAAGAAAACATTAAGATACAGGTCCTTCTGACTCCAAACCCCAGAGCCTTTTTCCTGAGGCCTGGTTTATCCATTTCCTAGAGCTGCCCTGACAAATTACACAAACTTAGTGGCTTAAAACAACAGATAGCTCTTACCTCAGTTCTGGAAGCCACATGTCCAAAATCAAGGTGTCAGCAGGACCACGCCCCCTCCGAAGGCTCTGAGGGAGAAGGCTTCCTTGCTTCCTCCAGCTTCCGGTGGCTCCGGGCGTTCTGTGGTCTACGGCTGCGTAACTCCCAACTCTGCCTCTGTCTTCTCATTGCCTTCTCTGTGTGTCTGTCTCCTCTTCTTGTCTCATAAAGACAGTTTCATTGGATTTGGGGCTCACCTAAATAATCCAGGATGATCTTATCTTGAGATCCTTAACTTGATTACATCTGCAAAGACTCTATCCAAATAAGGTCACATTCACAGGTTCTGGGGGTTGGGACGAGGACATATCTTTTGGGGGCCACCCTTCAACTCACACCAGACTGGAGTGAAAAACACATAAATGAGCCCTTCCAGGATCTGCAAGTGAATCCCAGCAATGTAATTCTCTTTTGTAATTTCTGAGAGGAATTTGCATCCACATTTGTTCTTTTACCATTGCTTCTCCTTAAAACTTCTGCATGATGTCAGTGGCAGGCATGTGCTAACTAAAAATCCAGGCTACCATGAACTATTACAATCTTGACTCACATTCTTCTTCCATTCTGGCAGCCCTCGTCACTTTTCCTTTTCTTGGAGTATAACTTCTTTCTACTGTTTAGTCCATTCTCCTCCCCTTCCTCTTCCTCCCTCCTCTCAAACCCAGTGTTACCAAGATGTCTCTTCCTCATTCCAGAAGTGCTGCTAACAAATTTTAGTGTGCATCAGAATCACCAGGAGGACTCGTTCAAACACAGATGGCTGGGCTCCACCCCTTGAGCTTATGATTCAGTAGGTCTGAGTTGGACCTGACAATCTGCATTTTTATCCCAGGTGCTGCTGATGCTGCTGGTCCAGGGGCCACAATGAGAACCGTTGCTCTAGCTCAGCACCTTCTCCTTGCTCTTCTAGTGGCATTCACTTCTTACTGTTACCCCATTACCACATCCACCTTCCTTTGCGCTCTCTGGTCACTTAGTCCCATCTATTGGAGTTATCTCCAAACAGCTGGAGCCACAGTTGACTTAGTTTCCATCCTACATGCACAGACCGCCACCTAACCATTTCATACCTTTGACACTGATCGAAAACCTTTCCTTCATTCCTCTACCCTCTTACTTCTCCAGGTCAAAGTTGAGGAAACTCAAGTAACTAAGATTTATAATCAAAAAACAGGAAAATCTGGCCCCAAGCAGGGGAAGCAACAGCCTTGGCAACAAGCTGACTTTAGATACTTTCAATGGACTAAGAAAGTGGGCAGTCTGGAGCTGGCTCCAGCTCGGTCTGGGATGATTACAGAGAAAACATCCAACCCCATCTCCACCCACCCTTCCACCCATGCTCCTTCTGTCCTCACCAGACCCACGTGCCCTAGAGCACTGCAATCCTTCTCCAGAGTGGGTGTCCAGATGCCAGCACACTGTCTTCCCAGGACGTTGAGCAACATTGGGTGAAGTATTTCCAGCATTCATGTACTCCCCAACAGGCTGCAAGACATTTTCTCTAAGGAATTTCAACACACATAACTAGTGCTTTGTTCCAATGTGAATGAGAGTTTGTCTGGGTGCCAGTGTTTCACCATACAGGAGATTAGCAAACATGAGCCCAAGACTCTTAACAGCCACATTTCAGTCTTGCTCTTTCTCCATATTATGCACAAATGTCAAACCACTCTAGAAAACGAAAAAAGAGAGGAGGTGTCAGTCCTGTGTGAAGATCTAATTAATCTAGACAATCTGCTGTTATAAACCCTTTTAATGTCAAGTACCCACCATCAGTTTTGCTAAAGATGGGCTGAGCTAAGCATGGGCTGTGTACTTCCGTCAGAATCTGGCTAACAGTGTGTTGACACCCAAAGCTTCCTCACACTTTCCCCTTATGCCCTCATAAATGGAATTTTTTAAAAAATAAGAGGTTAAGTGCTAATGGTGAAGGTTCTCATACAGCTCTGGTGCTCCAAGTGAACAGTTGACTTCTCCATGAATTGAGACCCAAGCTGAAGGGAAAGTCTAATTTCGTAGTGGGTTAATTGAACACAAGGGACCAACTGAGGGTGGGCTGGAGGTCTCCTGCTAAGACAGGAACTCTTATCTCAGTTCCTTGTCTTGTGGTCTCAGAAAGCTTTATTAAGGGTTCTGTATTAGTTTGCAAAGGCTGCTATAACAACGTACAACAGACTGGGGGACTTAAACAACAGAAATTTATTTTCTCCCAGTTCGAGAGGCTGGAAGTCTGAGATCAAGATGGCAGCAGGATTGGTGTCTTCTGAGGCCTCTCTCCTTGACTTGCAAATGGGCATCTTCTCCCTGTGTCTTCACATGATCTTCCCTCGATGTGTGTCTGTATCCTAACGTCCTCTTTTTATAAGAATACCATTCCTATTGGATGAGGGCTACTCATATGACCTACTTTTATTTAATTATCTCTTCAAAGACCCTATCTCCAAATACAGTCACATTGTGAGGAACGGGGTGTTAAGACTTCAACACATAAATTTGGGGGGGACACAATTCAGGCCATAACAGTATCCTCATTCATTTAAACCATTCACCACATTTCATTTATTGTAAGTTGCATATTTTCCCACATTTTAACATCTGCGAAATCAGATTACATCTAACAATCTGTGGTGTTCAGAGGTGAATTGGTAGATATTTTTCTCTATCAGTGATGCATAAAGTTATGGTCCACCATACAATGGGTAACTTCTTGGATTCAATGAAGTATCATAGTCCTCACAACACCTCATTGAATTAGGTACTATTTTCAGCCTCATTTTACAAATTAGGAAACTGAGGTGCGTAGGTTAAACAACTTGTCCAAGGACATCAGCTAGCAAGTGGTAGAGCTGGGTTTCAAACCCAATCAGTCTGACTTCTGGGCCCATCTTCTTAACCACTGCACTGGACCGTCTCATGGGGTTGCTGTGAGGCTAACCGAAGGTTTGCATACGAGGCACTTACAACGGTGCCTGGAACAGAGTACATGCTCAAGAAATGTAGGCAACTATTATCCTTTATTTGGGGGAATTGTAAATGGCGTATGTGTCTCTTATAAGTCACAGTGGACTGGACATGTGTTCTCTACAGCGATGTGTGACCATGATGCCTTCCCCCTTCATAAGCAAACATTTTCAGTCTAGGTTGGGTGACCAACTTGTCCTGGATTTCCTAGGACCTTCCAAGTTTTACCATGGAAAATCCTACATTCCTCAGACCCAGGCAAGCCAGGATGGTTGGTCCCCCTGTCAGCATGAAAGAAGGAGGCTTTAAACTTGAATACAGGAAATGGAGGGGAAGGAACTCAATAAAAGTGAGATACACCATCAGGGAATAATCTACTCCATGGGAACTGTTTAGGTGAAGAGATGGGTAAAGGACATGAAGGATTTAAGAACATTTCAGAGTTTGTGAGTCTGATTATTGAGGAAAAGGAATAAGTATGCCAAGGAGGAAAGCTGGGTTTAGAAAAGTAGATGAGGAATTTCATTTCAGATGCCCTGAGCTTAGGTGGTTTCAGGCCAACCAGATACACTATGAGTGTGTGGACCCAGGGACAGTCAGAGGTGCCAAAGACAGACTCCAGAGCCATCCCCTGGAATGCGACCACCGTCCAAGGTTGTGAGGGACCCATCAAGGGAACCCTGCAGGGGAGAGTGACCTCCTGGAAGGAAGGTAGACCACAGCCTAAACATTGGTTCTCAACCTTTACATGGGATGGAATCACCCACGGAGTTCACACAAACACAAACCCCATACTGAATCAGAATTTAAGGCTCAGGACTCTACATCTTTAACACATTCTCCAAATGATTCTTTTGCAGATAGTCTGAAGACTACAATTTGAGAAACTTTGGCCCAAAGGTGTGTGGTCAGAGAATAAGCAGTGTTGTGTCAACTCTCCAGTCCCTCTCTGTCCTCACCTCCCCACTTTCTTTGTTGGTCTTATTGTATGTGACTCTGCTGATGTGTTGATTGTAGGCACCAGCTGGCAGTGCCACCTCCCTCTCTCCTTGGCTGTCCTATCCTCGCAGTACTAGCTGTCTGGTTCAAGCAAAGCAGAGCTTTGGTCTTGTTGTGCCTGACACCTGACTTCCTGTCCACTGTGGGTAGTGCTGGGAATATAAGTTGATTTCCTTGCCCCCAAATGACTGATCTTGTGTGTTCTTGATTTTATCAAGAGGGTCATTGTAATCTAAGCTGAAGAATTCCGTGAGTTTGTCTAGCCAGGTCAGCTGTTTGAGTGAATCACCACAGCCAAGCATAAGGGGGAGGCTGAGGGAGAGCCACAGTCAGACAGAGGTAAGTCCTCTATCTCAGGTTCTCCAGGGGTCGTATGTTCAGACCACCAGAATGGGTTCAGTTACCGGCTCAAGGCTGCAGCCTGAAACAGACAGTAAATAATGCGGGTGGGAGGTAGTGAACGGGCTCCACTCTGTCGTTTCTTCACCAGCTCACAGGAGTCAGCCAGATCTGTAGCAAGGACAGGGAGAGGGGTAGCAACCAGCATTGCTTGCCTCTGGGCTAGTGGTGGCACAATAAACCCATAGCCCAATGCTCAGCACCCTTCTCAGTATACTGTAGTAATCTCATAAATGCCTGCGAGTGTTTATAAGGCTCGAGAAAACATATCGTTCATTACTTTCAGTGAACATAAGGTAAAGGAGTTAAGCCCTCCCCTTATCTCTGAATTTGAGGATGAATTCATTCAACTTCATCTAAAGGAATCAAGAAGCTCTCCTACCTATAAACGTCAGCATTCAAACTCTCATGGATAAAGTGTCACACCCAGCAACATCATGTCACTCTGTGTGCTACCAATAGACAACTCAGTGGTCAGGTAAGGTTATTTCATTCACTGCCATTGGCTTTGGCCGCTGTGACTTAATTTGTTTGTTTTCATTCATTCAACAAAGATTCATTGAGCATATACTTCAGGCCAGGCAGTAATCTGGATGTACGGGATACATTGATAAACAGCCCAGGAAAAAATCCTTGCCCTCGTGGGGGTTATAATTTAGGAAGATGGGGGTGAAAGTGGGGAGATGGATAACAAACAGTTGACATGATAAATAACTAAATTATGTAGTATGCTAAAAGGAGGCGAGGGCTATGGAAACAAAAAGCACATGTAAGGAGGATGGAGTGAGCAAGGGGACAATAGCATACAAACTGGAATAGCATTGTTGGGTAGGCTTCATGGGAAGGCAATATTTGAGTAAAAACTTGAAGTTTTTTGGCCTGAGTGAGGAGAAAGATAAGGTTGCTATCAACTGAAATTGGGAGCCCAGAGTAAAGCTGGTTTGGAGAAAAGAATTAAGAGCTCAACTTTGGAACATGCTCCACAAAGTTCCAAGTGGAGATATCAAGAAGGCAGTTGGTTTTGAGTTTGGAGTACTGCAGCAAGGTCTGCAACAGACTTAAAAAACTAAGAGTCTTTGACAAATAGATAATATTTAAGGCTTTGATACTTGATGAGATCACCAAGGGAGGGGGTGTGGATAGAAAAGAGGAACAGGAAGAGAACCAGTGACAGGAAGGAAAGGAGGAGCCTGTGAAGGGCAGGAGACCAGAGGAGTGTAGGAAGAAAGGCAAGCGTGTGTGGTTCCTGGAAACCTACTGAGGTGGTCGTTCCCTGGAGGAGGTGGTGACCAGCTGTGTCAAATGACATCAATCAGTCAACTAAGGTGAGGAGTAGGTAGCATTGACTATTATCAGACTGAGGAATGTGGCCTTAACAAGACCCCCTTCTGAGAATACTGGGCATGAAATACTATCTAGAGAGAGTTAAAGAGAGAATGAGAGAGGGGAGATTGGATACAGTAAGTAAAGACAGTTCTTTCAAGGAATTTTGCTACAAGGGGTGCAAAAAACAGGGCACTAGCTATTGAGGGAAGTGAATTTAAGAGATTTTTATGTGTTTTATGTGCAGAACCATGAACAAATGGTAGGATGAGGTGATGGGAGGTTCTGGCATGGCTATGAACTCTTGGAGTCAGGCTACCAGAGAGACTGAGTTGAACGGATAAGAGGTGGTGGTCTGAGATTGGGTTGCATAAACTTGAAATATAGAGGAGTGGCATTGTTGGTGATGACCAGGTCTGGAGCATGACACGGGAATGAGTGGCTGAGGTAGAGTGAGGATAACAGCGTTGGAGGAGAGGAGGTCAAGGAGCTGAGAGGCCAAGGCATTGAAAAGACTACCTGTGAGAATCCTGAAATCACCAAACATTAAGACAAGAGAGAAACTGGAAAGTGCCAGCAAACCAGGAGCTAAATCTCTAAGAAATGAGGGAGAGTGATCCCCTTCCTACATGGCAGCAACAATGAAGGATATTGGGTGATATAATCTGATATGAGATTCAAAGCTAGTGATGTTTGGGGAGGGAAGTGGGGAAGGGGCTTTAAGAGGCCATGGGATTCACAGAGAACATCTAGGTCTCCTCCAGGCCCAGTGGTACAAAGTCTACAGGAGAAAAATAGCTACCCCTTGAGGGGCTGCAGGGGAGGCACTGTCCTCAGGGGAGATTCAGGGAAAGAGAAGAGATTAAGGATATGTAGGATTTTGCTGATGATGGTCCAGGAATTACAGAGACACAGTAGAAGAGGTTCACGAGTTAGGAAGGGGAAAGAAGTGGAGACAGACTAGTGGGTATGCAGAGCCTACAGGGATT